TTCCTGCTCTGCAGATACCCTCCACTGGCGTGCTCTTGCAGAGCCTTTGGTGCCATTGCCACGACCCCTCACAGGGTTACTCACAACATGTATGTGATGACGCCTACACTCCACATGTCTGTTGGGAAGGAAACAAAGTCATAGTTCACCACTTCAGGAGCCAAGAACTCTGGAGTTCCAAAATTAACCTTCAGTTTCTCACGAGGTTTGTACCTTTACCAGAAAGAAAGAGATATCACTGCTGAGAGCAGGCTGGGGAACGCATCTCGCATAAAAATCAAGGCATGGCTTTTTGCCACGCGAGTATGGCAGAGTAAGCAGAGCAGACTCACCCAGGCAATCAGGACAGCATCAAGGTCTTTAAAAAAATAAATGGGTGAATTTTGCTGTGACTTCAGGTGAATACACCATCAGCTATCCCTTTGCCAGAGCAAAACCAGAAGGAAGACCAAGGGCAATAAATCCTGCAAAGGGCTCCCCCACAGAGTGGGGCCAGGCTCCACGGGATGCTTTCCAGCAGATGTTGTCCAACATAAAACAAATAAAGCAGCTTCCATTAAAACAGGCTTGAGAGCATTTGCTTAATGGGATGTACCCAGCTACAGCTTAGGATAAAGGTCTGTATAACAGATATGAGCACAATATAACTGCTAAGGTGGGACTCTGAAGAGGATTACTGGGGCTTGGTAACAAGTGAAACAGTGATCCCATATAGAGAGAAAATGATTCTGTTCTATTGCTTAAAAGGAAAAGGTTACAAAACTGAACCAGTAATAATTGTCACTGATTGCAGCTGGAGTTACATCTGTGTACAGACAGCACAAACCATTAAAGCATCGCTTTTACATCTCTCTTTCCTGGAAGATACTGTTTTCAAAACTGCTTCAGTAGAAGTTTGCATCTTTGCCCTCCCAATTTAAAAACAAAACAAAACACAAAAAACCAACAACTCAGTGTATCCATTTCTGTTTTCATAAAATACTTCTAAAACAAAAAAGCCCTTGGACAGATACTTACATACACACACGTAGGTACATATATGCATGAATGTAGCAGGTTTTGGCTTAAGAAAAGCCTCAAAGGGTTTAGAAAAGAAACAGAGAAATGCTGTTTTTCTTACTGTTATACTAACAGGAGTCATTCCTTTTTATTCTAGGGGAATTGACTCATGCTCGCACAGCTTTCCTTTAACAAACTCACGCGAGCAAAGTAAAAGAATGGAGAAGAGTCCGTATTTCTCTGAGGGTTTCCTGTTTCACATGGGATGGCTCAAACGTGCTTTTTTTTTTTTCTTTTTTTTTCCTTCAATCAACTTATCAACATAAAGAGTTTCACAGATAATTTCCACAACTAGAACCTGCACAATAAAACCCAGCAGTCAGGAAGTCTGAGAGCCTTCATGGAGTCCCTAGAGTAAAAGCTCTACATGGGGAATCATTTTGAGAAAATTAGAACAGCAGTATAGCTTTATCCAACAGAAATGTTATTTGAAAAAGTAATTAGATAATTAATGCACACAGCAGAAAACTCACGCCTGCAGCAGCATAATACTTAGCTCATTCACATAGCGGAATTTCTTTAGAGCCACCAAAATGCATTTACAAAACCCCAAGAACTACCAAAAACACGTCAGAGGTTTGTGGGTTTGTTTTGGTTTTGGTTTTTAAAATAAACTCATAACTGAACTCTCTTACCTCCTTGCTAATCCAAAGTCAATAATTTTAATCTGGTTTCCTGTGTGATTTACACATAGTATGTTTTCAGGCTACAAAAAGAGAAGAGGGTATTTTGAGTTAAATGTATGACTGTTTGAGAGAGAGATCTAGCAGAAAAGTATAAAAATCTCAGAGATTTTAATGATAATTTTCAGTATAATACTTTTCCTTCTATTCCTATCATGGGAGAGAAGTATTTGACTGGCATACTGCGTTAGTGAAAGGTTTGGTTTTGGACGTCCCATAAGGAAGTTTAACTTCTGTTCCTGCATAACAATATTCCTATATTTCACCATAGATGACAAATAGATTTTGCAATGGAAAGGGCCCCCTGTGTAAAACGGTAGAGTCAGTCTGATGGTTGAGGCTTACCCACTGGATTTACTTCTTAAGTATAAAAGTAACTCCATAAAAACCCACAAGAAACATGTCAAATGCATCCTTTGGTTTGCCCACAAAGGCAAAAATTTGTTTCTTCCAATGAGAATATTTTTCAAGGTGGGGATGGGGGGGGATGCTGGTGTCCAAACTTTTTACAACTGCAGAACTGTCTACAGGCCAACCAGGTCTAATATCATTTGTGTAAGACGCTGTATAAACAAGCAGGAAAAAAAAAAAATCAGTTGGTATTTCTGTTCAAAAAGATCAGTTATTAAGGGGCCATTAAGAAAATATTGTCATTCTACTGCAGTTCAGTTCCAGGCAGTAAAAAGTACAGACAATAGGAAAATGATTGAGTAGGTATTTGAACATAGACACAGCGGGGTAGGGGGAAGTGGAGGGAAGACTGCGGGCATTTCTAGTCAAAGAGGTTTTGGTGTGTGTTTTTTTTCATTGATGACAAAAGGGCATTGTTTAATTCCACACAGAATGAAAAGCTGCTGATTTAAGAGAGGCAAAAGCACAGAATCCTGTTCACGTCACTATTCTAAGCAAGCTACCAAATAGACATTGAAAAAAAAGTAATGAATCTCTAGAGCTCCATTCATTGTGGCTATTGAATTAAGTAAGTCTATTTCTTCATGACATAAGTCCGTGAAATGAGAAATGACACTTGTAATTAGAGACTCTGTGGTGGTCCAAAGCCTAGCATTGCTAAAGAGCGGAGAGTATGAACTACTGACCTTCAGATCTAAATGGAGAATATAATGCTGGTGCAAGTAGTGGACTCCTTCACAAATCTGTTTGGTAAATAGGATTGCATCCAACTCAGTTAGATTGTAGTTTTCATCTGTGATCCGGTCAAATAATTCACCACCATCAAGACTAAAATTTTGACATAGAAAAGTGTTAAAAAACACTAAAATTCCTCATTAGCTCAATTTATTTCCAAGTTGGGAACTTAGGCTCTCTAATTTAGCAAGGGTCCTAACAATACATCCAATACAAAGTGTATCAGTAGTCTCAATGACTTCAAGAGACTTATTTCTGAGCGTTAAATTAAGTATCAATCTAAATTAAAAAATGGAAAAGTTGGCGCTAACATTTGGGGGGGGATATATGTCAAACCCAAACCCACACGACCTGGTGATCCGATGGGGACCTGAAGAACCTACAGGGAGTACCAAAGTATCTATTCTTCTCTTATCTTATTAGTCTAGAGAAAATAAGTCTTCAACCTATAAAATTTACTGAATGAAACTTCTCAAACTGAAAGTTATTTTACGTGAGCTGACAATTGGACTTAATTCTGCACAAAAATTAAGAGAAAATTACATCAGACATATAGCTCTGACAAGGTTCTGCAAGGTAAAAACTTCAGATATTAATTTCAATATACACATTTTAAATGTCTTATCATATTTATATTTGCTATTTCATTTTGTATTCTTTTTTCCTTCATGTCATTAACAATTAGTTCTGTAGCAGAAACTCAGTTTTTAGGTTATAAAACTTCAGGTTTTTGTAAAGCAATATGCCACTAGACAGAAAAGGCAGCAGGTGTACATCATGAAATCTCCCTTTTGTGAATTCCATATTTGATATAGATCAAAATTCTTATTTAGCTTCAAATGGGGAGGCATTTCTATTAATCCTAAAATTATTCAAAGGAGGCAGACCATGCTTATAATTAATCACCTTCCTACCTTCTCCATGCCTTTTCTAATTCTACTTGAAACACCTCACTCCTCCTCTTGTCTGGGTCTCTCACCTTCACTCTCTCCCTAATATGAGATTTTACTTACCCACCACACTTTTATGTAATTTGGTAGCTAGGGACCATGTTGGGGCCTGTAAGTTAAACTTAAATGAAAAATGAACCATAGTGAAGTTCATTAACAATCTTGTAATTTCGTTCATACTCTTGAAGATAGCTGCCCCTCTTACCATTTGTTTAAACTGCAATCTTGCCAAATATATATTTTGAAGAAATGCCCTTTGAAACACTTTTTTTTTTTTCCTTCTGACAGTGAAATCAACTCTCTCAAGCTGGGAAACCACCCAAGTCTTCTTCACACCTCAGAATTATCACTCCCTATTTCCTTTAGTGACCTGAGAAAACCCAAACATCTGACAATTCCTGAGATCATTTAAACTTACTATTCCATGATCAGAGTGATATTATTTTTGGCTTCAAAAGCATCATAAAGCTGGATCAGATTCACGTGATTTAATTGGTTCATGACGTTAATTTCATTTTTTACTTCCTCCTGAAAAAAACAATAAATTAACAAAAAATGAGCAAAATATGCTCCTTAAATTCCAATATATTCAAATACAATTGTTTGTAAAACCCAGTAACAGCTATACCACAGGTCTCAAGCGTACAGAAGGTTTAATCACACATACGGGAGATGACAAACAGTCATATAAAGTCCAGGCTGCTACTTACTAAGATTTTAGGGTATTTGATACTACTCAATGACAAGTTGCCTCTTATGGGCTGACTCAGGGCAGTGGTGTTAAGGTGCTTGCAATAAGGCCAGGTTTAGAGTGTGCTCACTTGGGTTCACAGCAACATAGTTACCCTCTCTTTTGCTCCTTTCACTTTTATGATTTTGGCTGCCAGGTTGAGACCAGTTGATATTTCCGTGCACTTGTGAACTTGCCCAAAACGCCCCCTGTTGATACCAAACAAAAGATGGGAAACTGGCTTAACACAGCTCACCCCAGAAACTTTTCATACAACTATTCTTATCGTTGATTAAAAATAGCACAGTACAAAGTGAACAGAATCAGGTGGCCAGCAGCATGAATCTCCTCTTTCTCTCAGCTTATGAAGGATTAGTTTTATCTTTCCAGCCAGTTGTTCGATGCTTACATTAAAATATTATGCCCCCTTCATATTACTACATTTCACTGTGGTATGATGACCTGATGATATTCTTTTTCGGTTCTGTAACTGTACCCGCTTGCTGTCCTTCAGTGATGCGGCAGTGGGTATATTAACAAGGATATTTCTGTCCTGATCTCATAACTTTTTAAATGACTATAAAACCAGTAACTGTAGCCACTCCACAGACTGCATTTCTTGCGTGTTGTAAATTCTCCCCCATGTCACCCAGATACGTTAATGCCCCTTGAGATGATTTCTAAACACCATCTTTCTGCTATTGCATCATCAGGCTTATACTTATTAAGCCATATTTGTACTCGGATCAGCCTGTAAATCAAACCTTCTTGTCAGATAAGTAAGGATACAGGAATACAAAGGCTGAAGCAGCTGCAGACTTCCTATGAGTGAAAACTAAATGTAAGGTCAAAATAATAACAACTTCTCCCTTAGTTTTCTTTAACGTGCAGTTCAGCATGGAAAAAAGATTTTGGAAGCTGCCTGACCTAATGGGCTTTGCTGACTCCAAATGCTCTCAATCTGTCTGCCTGAAGGTTACAGGTTTTTCTCATGACACGAGCTGTAGCCAGGATTATTATAACAAATGCAAAAACCAGTCATCCAAGATCACAGTCAGGTGTCTGAAAATGGAACTGGGGCAGAAACCAGTCATGTAAGGGACACCCCCCCCACACACCCCAAAATCAACAGAAGGTTGATACAAGGAGCCCAGCAACTACGATAGCCCAGAAGGCCTCAGGGATGAGCCTGCTCACTCTGGCTGCAGCGAGCTTGTAGATGCCTCATCCATGCACACCTTGGAGCCATCTGAAGAAGACAGCTCTAGCTCTCCAGCTAACTGTATTTCTCCTTGCCTTAGCCACCAACAGTAGTACAGCATTAGGGACGGGGAGACTTACCCCCCCAGTACTTCATGACGACACACCAAGTAGCACGTTGTAACCTCTGTTTGCTTGACACTCACTATGCGATGTTCAAAAGGAGCCGGAGGAGAAGGGCTGTCATCTAAAGAAGAGACAAACTGGTCATTGAGATGTTTCTGCACACATCACTGCACTCAATTTCACTTCCCTCACACCAATGATTTCAATCCACAGGATATGCACGTCACCTTGTTATGTTTGCTAAGTGTAATGAAAAGCCTCAACTGCCTTCTGTGCTCCCAGTATCCACCACTCCACAAAACCATACTCTTGTGCTCCCCCAGCTTCAGCATCACTGTTCCTCGAGGGATGAACCCAGTTTGTCAGACAGGCATTGCCGACACAGAGCCGGGACCACAAACGTGCACACACAGCTCCTCCCCTACCTCAGCGCTTCGGAGGCTGTGGGGCTCTAAGGGGGAAACACTGGGGGCCAACATGAACGCCCGGACAAGCCAGCCTCTGTCTGCTGCCGATACGCTGCTCATGCAAACACTCAAACCAGAACTTTAATATAAAGTGCACTACCCTCTCTCCCATCTTTCCTCTTTGCTTTGTGTTCCTCTACCACGCCACCATTTTGTCTTCTGCTGGAATTCAGGCAAGCACTGAAGTATCTGGATAACATTAAGCATGCGATTCCTTCACTATTTTTAGAGTGGCATGCAAGTAAAATAACCATTGCATTTGCAGCTAGCCATAAGGAGGGAGGTGCTGAAAATACCTAAAATCTCTCTGTTGCTTCGAGTGAGGGGCTGCTACTGCTAACACCCTTTTGCAGATGAAGAACAAAGGCCCAGAACTGAGAACAGGATCCCACCTCCTGAATCTCAACCTTGTGGTTTTTAACACAGTAAACTCACTGGACACCTTTAGAAGATCAACATCTTAGTTTATGCATTAACAGAAGAGGTCACCTGAAAAAAATACCTGGAAGTTTGAAAAAAATTACACTTTATCTTCTTTTAATCATTATATGGCAGCTGGAAAGACCAGCACAAATACACAGCACTGATAGACGATGACAGTTATTGGTAAACTCAGGAAGTTGCTCGTAGCAGCAAGATTTTTGCAGACAATGTCCAAGCTAAAGCTGCAAACATTACAACTATTAAGTTTAATCAGTTTGTGGGAAGGTAAATCAGTTAGCCATGATACATTTAACATCCAAGTTTTTCTAGGGTAAATCTTCCATAAACCCACTTTTGGTGTCCCCCATTCAAAGCGATTTTAAAATTAATTTCCAGATATCTTGGGCTGCAATTTAACACGTATTCAACTCATCTCCAGCCACTGCTGAGAAAGCCAGATCCAGGTCAGGGCATCTACCCATGTACGTACGTTCTGGGACATATACATATTCATGCTGCCAGGAGAGTCTACTCCCTGAAACAATGCAATCAAGTGTTCACACAGTAATCGAGATCTATGGCCAATAACACAACAAAGACCACAGCAAGATAACTCTTCCTGCATATTTTGCTGCCCTCTGGATCTTCAGTCCATAGTTGCTAAAGAATACCTGGTTTGCATACTCTATCTTAAGGAATAAATGCTTAATTTAAGAAAATGGATTTTTTCAAAATTACTCATACTTCTGATCACACATATACTTCACCCGATTTTATTTTAAAGGAACTTTTTTCCCCAAAACACACTTTAAAAGGAAAATTACTATTTAAAGGATTTGTACAAATGTTAATTCACTTGTTATTTACACAGCCAAAGGTACCCATGGCAAAATGCTCTTGAACTGTAAGACACAGGTGGTCTACTGAGCACTGCTCCAGCTATTACTGTATATATAACACACATGAGTAGCACAAAATCCTCAATGTAAAAATTTTCCGAGAGTAACTGCGAGCAACTTACCGATGATCATTTCATCCTCTGTGGGAAGCTCTTTGCTAGCTTTCAATGACTTAGTCTTCTCTGGTGCCATTCCTGTACACTGACGAGCATCATTTTCACTTCCCCCTGAAGATGCAGACTCAGATTCTCTCCTCTCAGAGTTGGTATCTGTCGGGGATTCTTCTGCTTTTGCTGCTTCTTGATGGATTTTCATTTCTACCCCCAGATCTTTCGTAGGCTCCTTTGCAGAGGTATTCTGTGAGGTTATGGGCTTGCATTTTAATTCTGATTTCTCTTCAGCCTTTTTACCTGGTTTGGGCTTGCTCAGTAATGGCTGTTGCTTCCCTGTTTGAGGTGCAAGTTCATTTCGCTTATTGTCCCCTTTCACTTCTTGTTTTGGCTCAGAGCTGATGTTTTTAGGACTCTGTTGAAGTTTTAATTTGTCAGGCAGCTGTTTGACTCCTTCCACTTCTGCTGGTGTGGAGGATGGGGATTTTACTTTGGGACTTTTACTTCTGTGATCATTTAAGTTTCCTTCCTTGGTCTTCTCAATCTTTTCTTTCGTTTCAGTCATATGTACATTGATGGATATCCTGCAGAGCAAACAGTTGACATTTATGCAGATGACTAGCCTTGCTTTTGTAACTTTGGGGGAGGGGGGGTGGAATCTATAAGGTTCTGAAACCACAGATTTCTACAGTATTAAAGAAATCTAACTGTATCAATCCTCTTAGGAAATATTCACACCACTACAGGAAGAGCACCACAAAGCATGCTGATGCTTTTTCTGTGTCCTCATCTGTGTATATGCCTGCCTTCTGCTGAACACAAAATGTCTCACACTGCACAGTGTTAGTCCCACATTTGAAAGCTTACCCACTTTTTGCAACTATTGCAGTTAGTCTAATAAAATACCACTCATCTGGGCGGGGGTGGGGGGTGGGAATAGTGATTGCCTTCACAAATTACAGGCCGATTATCTAAATGACTGGCTGTTCATATGGCTCTACAAATCCAAAGGTTTGCATCCATCCCGGTCCTCTTCCTGCTGGCTGACTTGCACACTCAAACATCTGTGTTTGTGTCTTCTGATGGGATAGCATTCTTTCCACAGCTTTCTGTTAAAAATGTAACTTTCATAAATTCCTTCATTCCATCAATACTCTTTTCCTTGGCATTCTAGTTACTGGAAAAGTTTAATAATTTTTTTTCCTCTTGTGTTGTCTAAAAAGAATATGGGTTAAAACCAATTCTCTATGCTCCTAAAATCCGTCAAAGACATTTGTGTGATGATTTTTCAGTCAATTGTTACTGCTCCAACTGTCATGAGCACACAGTCTGATATCAGTGAGGCCAAATTGAAAATTGTGAAGTTGTAAAGTGGATTTTGTACAACAGCAAGTAAAGAAAATTTTTGATGTCTAGGAGAGAACGTACCTCATTTTCACAAAAGTTATTGCCTCTTTCAGTGGAGCAGCCTTATTACAAAAGATGTTATAAAAGAAAATGTTTCTGCTTTTGCATAACAAGAGTCTGACGCTTCTCATTTTCAGCACCTTTAACACCCTTGCGCTGTGCTATGAATCTACGCTGCACTGGAGTGAGCTATCAGAGCAGCCGAACACCGCTCTGAGCAAACACTTCCACTGCTATCTAGACAAGCCTGAACTCGGCAGGACTCTTGGGCATTTCTCCAAGCAGGGGAACACAATGTTCTTTTGACGCTTCTGCGTGGGCTTGCAGACTTCATTAAAAGTTGCATTCATTTTAGAGAGGCATTTACCACCCTCATGTGACTTCACACACAAAAGCATAATAGGTAGCCTGTGCAGGAAGGCTGCAGCTTCCCCTGGGATTTACTCTAGGTTCTGCCCTCCCCAAACCAAAGTCTTTGGGGCTCAGACACCCGCCTGTCCAAACCAGCCAGCTGCTGCCCATCTCCAAAGTTCACCGCCCGGCACATCACGAACCACCAGCACTGGCTTCCAAGGGGTAACAGCAACTGTTCCTCCACTGCTCCACAAAAACCTTGAGCCATCCTCGAAGTAGGGCACAGGCGGAGCCTCCGAGGCAGCGCTCCGGCAGGCAGCTGGGACCCACCCGCTCCAGCTGTTGAAGCACAGTGCCCAGGGCTCACCGGCCGGAGCCTAAAACCCACAGGGAAAATACAGGGAGGTCCCTCTTGGTGTTATTACAGCCATCAATTTGGAGGTAACAATGTCTATAAACTGTATACAAAGTTGTTCCCGAATGTTTGAAAAGAGGCCGCAGTAGTGAAAGCTTCTACTTTCTCCTGTCACATTCTTACACTCAGCCTCTTAGGAGAAAAACATCCCAGTGTGCCAGCCTTCGCCATGAGCCCTTTCCCTCGTGAAGCCTGTGTGCTGACATCAAGACAACTTCCACTCATTTTGGTAATTTAGTCTTCATTCACTTTTTTTTTTTTAAAAAAGAGCCCTGTAATCCCCGCAGACACTTACCCATTGCACAGAAAGATTTAAGTGTCCACCCTATATTCACAAGTACTGCTACAAATTCAAAGTTTTCAAATTAAAGTATGCATACACAGAAGTAGTGTCATGTTCTTGCCTGGGCTTCAGACATGGATTTGTACACATGAGCAATGGGGAAATTCCACACACAAAATAACATACATATATATGTGTGTGTGTGTGTATATATATGTATGTGTGTGTCTATCACACATACCCATATATAAAAACAACTTCATATCCAGTCGGAGAAGGCATGGCAGTTAAAATTTGCCACAGAATTTCCATCCATTGAGGTTTGCTTGGTAGCAGTTTTTTGGTTGTGGGTTTTTGTTGTGTGGGTTTTTTTAATTTAAATGAATGGAATTAAAATTAAATCCTAAATAAATAATTCTAAAGGAAATGGATTATGAAAGACATATTACAAAACACCTATATAAGGAAAAGATTGGGCTAGTAGAGATTAATAAATGAACGATTTGGTCATATCTTTAGGTGACCCAGGCATAAAAAAAGCCCACAAAAACACCGAGGACAGCAAACGAAACAAGTTGTTTGGTTTTGTCATATACTAGTAAATATCTCAAATTCCTTTCACCCCCACGGTTATAGAAACAGAGGAGTTGGAAAGGAGTGAGTGGTTTATACATGTCCAACTACTTGAGCTGTACTGGGGCGGTCACCTTTCTATCTCTAATTCGCAGAAGCCCTGATCATGTAAAAAATCTCCCATACGTCTAGCCTTCTGACTCCTCGGCTTCACAGAAATTTCCACAGGGCTCTTGCTGCTTTGAGTTTTTTCCCTTAACCATTTGTTAAGGTTTCACGGCTCCTGTCCTAGCGTGGCTTTTTCTCCCCTGGATCATACCTCAGCAGGAGCTGCCTCCTTTAATGACCTGGCTTTCCTTTTTTTCCTTCTAACACATGAAATGGTTTCAGATCACACAGAAAGCTACCAACGAGGCCATTACCTGGTATGTGTCACTTCACAGCCGGTGTCAGATATAGCCTGGGATGTGGAGGGCACAGCTTCCCGGGATGCCGCACTTGACGATGGAGGTTTGTTTTCATTCTCTCTGAGTTTCTGACGAACAAGCTGCCTGTGGCACTCATCCAGGTGTGGGACACTGTCCTTATCGTGTGCTTTAGAAGGAACATTTTGGTTGCCTACATGATCTTGATTTACGAAGGGAAGACCATTGTGTTGATTCAAAGCTTTGACAGCAACGTCCTTTTGCTGTTGACAGATCTTGGAGCTGTGTGTTTTGCCAGCACCTTCTACTGCTTGCTGCTGCACCGTCCTCTCTTTAGCTTGGGGTCTGGAGTCAGCTTTGTGGGCTCCAGCACTAGAAGCATTCACCTTCTCACATGCTCCCTTGTTTTCATCCAGCTTTTTCCCACTTTTTGTCTCTGAATAAAACAAGCCATTAATAAACTACCCTTGACAAAAGTGACAGCAAAACAGAGAGGGAGTAAAGTAACCCACCATTCGAAATAACCTACGCAGCTACGTACATCTGAAAAGTAGCAAGAAACCCCCTGAAAGGTTTAAAATCCTTACACCAGCAGGCTTGAGACAGCCATTATTAATGCTCATTGGCTTACTTAGATGTTTAACTGCCCTGCTTGCTTTCCAGCAGTGTTACAGATTGAACTTGGATTTCCATAAAGCAAACAAAAACCTGCAAGGCTCAGCTCACTGCTTTTCAAATCTGAAATCACTCTATGGGCAAATGTAACAGGTAGTTCAGGCACTGCAGACCCATCCAGGACCCTCCTAAACCCGGTACACCCTCTACCTGATGAGAGCAGCAGAAATGCATGGAGCAAGACTCCAAGGGATGCTGGGGCTTGAGACAGCGCCTCTTGCATCTTCCACAAAAGGACAAGAAGGTTCTTGAGCCCCTTCTCATGACAATGGTTGTGAATATTAACAGTGGAAATTTCTAGGGTAACTTCTTTCAGGGTTCAGCACATAGTCACCAGCTATTGAGATTAGATTGCAACCCTGAGTTGCTTTTGAGTCAGAATTGTGACCAACTGCCTACTTTATTTTTGTCACTTCCTAAATGATGAAGCTAAAAAGGGGATCGTCCATAATTCAAAGGATTCACTGACAATTTGTGAAGACAACAGCATGACAAGGCCTGCTCAACATCACGTTCACCCCTGTTGCAACCCCACAGGCACTAATAATGAATGCAACAGGGCAATGCCCTGACAGATGCATCCTAAACAGGAATCGAGACCTGACATGGCAATGAAACTTGCTGATGATAAAAAGATATTCCCAATGTCAACACTGTCTCAGAGAGGGGGAGGAGAGAGGGCTGGTTCAGATGTGTTATGGGAAAAGAATTTTTAGGTTTGCTACGTGATATTGCCACTACCTTCGTGGTATCTCCAAACAAGTACTGCTCTCTCAATTCATCTCACTGTAATTTCAAAGCAAAAAAATCTGTGCAGCCAAACAAAGGTGCTGCTTTTATTTTCTTTATCTTCTAGGGTTTTGTAGAGTTTGATCTGGGGGACAGATGTTCTTGTGGAGGAGGTGAGAACTTCTCTACTTTCCCAGTACTGGTGGACAAAGTTACTCAGTTACATTTGAGTAATTCAGGTAGTGGGAAATAGCAGGCTATTAATTTCCAGTTTGTCTGCTGCACATTCTAGAGTCAAATCTTGTAGCATGCCTGGAGTGATACATACCTTCCAGAGGCTTCTTGCTTTCAGTTTGGGTTCCTCTGCTACTAAGCACATGCTTAGGTTTTGCACCACTCTCCTCAGGCTTATCTTTGGCCTAAAAATGACAGGGAAACACAAATGTAACAGTTATGGCCAAGAGCGTTTATTTCCCACTGGATTTCTCCAACTATGTAGATATTCAGACTCCGTAAAATGGACACGAACACCTCTGATCTTCTGATTTTTTTACTCCCGTCTTCCAGTCTCTCCCTGCTTTTGCAGACAGGCATACTTCTAAAACAAGATGACACAGAATAATACATTAGCTCGCTGCTTTCCAAAATTTTGACTGTCAGAGATTTTGCCTCCTGTCATCTTTACTCACATTGCTTAAAAACCGTGACATATGAAACATAAGAGAGAGATTAGAAAAATAAATGATAATGTATTTCTGTTGCTTTTTGGCTGGTGACTGAAAGATAAAGAATGACTCTGAAGTTATTGTTAACATATTTGTCTCAAGGCATCTAAAGATTCATGATTTGAGCTGTGATAGAGGTGATACCAAAAAGGAGCCTCTAGCTTTATGGTAACTCTTGTGTATATACTTGACATTACGCATGTCACCTTTGCCATGGTTAAAAACAGACTTATTGTCTTTTAGCAGTGGATTTTTATTTTTAAGCAAATTTCTTCCTCCAGTTAAGAAAGCACAGAGGAGGGATATTTTGTAATAGCACCACTAAACACCTTACACAGCAATACATTTGTAATCAAATTAAAACTAAATAACTAATATTTAGCAAAAAGCAGTACACAAAAATAGGAAAAGGCATAACATACTTCTTGGTTGGCATATAGTTAAAATCTAGTGATGAGCAGACTCTTATTCTTATTTGTACAAGCAAATAAGCAACATTTAAAATATTTCTGCAGATAACTGATTACAAGACTGCTGCAAATCGCCCCCTTCATCTGTTAGTAAAAGCGGTTAAGGATTAAGTTTTTCATGCTCATGGAATCCAATTCATATGGATTCCAAAACAGAGCCCCCTCCTTCCCCCCAGCTTCCCAAAAAACAAAACACCCAAAGAATAAAAGTAGTAGAAAATCATTACCATTTTTATTACAGCTCTAAGCAAACCTGCAACAATGACCAGGGGGAACATTATTCTTGCAAAATCCTACATGCAAAGAAAGCCTTGGATAAGTGACAGTTTAATGCTGATGGGTTTTTCCATCTGTTTTTTTAAATAAGAAGTTAGAGGTTTGGATCCTATGAAGCTCAATTCACAGTCTTTTATTGATTTGACTCCAACCCCACAAAACTTCTTCCACAAGCATTCCCATGGCATCCCTGGAATGCTATCATACTATCAACAAACAGCTTCACTCAGAAACGAAAACATGACCTCCCCACTCCCATCCCCATACTGAGTAACCTTGCACTAAGCCAGCTCCATGATAAGCAGCACGCTGTTACAAAACAGCAAAGGTTGGAAAACAGAACCAAGCAGGTAGCAAATTCCTTTTGTGTGCAACCCCCGTGCAACGGTGGAGCTCTTTGGACACGTCTATACCGCTGTCACAAAACAGGCTGCAAAAACTAGACCAAAGTTAACACATGGCTCAGCACAAGCCAATTTGTTTTTAAATTCGCTCGTGCGTTGCCCCACATTACCCCAGCTAGGTCACATATATATGCTACCTCACTAATTCAAGCCTAGTTCAAATATCACTCAGCAGCCTGTGATCAAAGTATAGGCATATCTTAAGGTCTTATAACTGACCTTATGCTCCAATTTCAAAAATTTTGCATGACCAGAAACAAAAAAGGAGAACAATGATGGCCATATTGCAAAACGGGTTAGTCGTAAGACTCTCCGCTTGCCCAACACACATTGCCTGTTCTACAACCGAGGCAGTGGTTAGAGCCTAGGGCAGAGACCTCCCATCCTAGTCCATCAGGTCACCAACAGCAGGTCATTTCACCTCTCAGTCTCTGTCCACCTAGCCATAAAACTTGGATGAAGTTCTGACCTCCTTCAATCTCCTCTTCTGCAAACACTGATGAGGAGGCAGTGCATAATGGCTAGTTGACAACTAATCCCAACAGTATGCTAGATGGCTAGTTGACAACTAATCCCAACAGTATATTTCAGTATTCCATGTGAAACATTCCTCCAGTATCCCTCACATCTCCTCCCTTTATTTACAGCCCTCCTTACTGCTCTTTTCACTTAGAAACTGACAATCTGGAAATTAAATTAGTTTCTCATCTTTATATTCACCTTCACCTGGCCATTGCCATACCATGCACTGTCAGTTCAGTTCAAGGTGTAAATCCTGCAGAGGACTGGATCTGCCTCCAGGCATTTTGCAGCGACTGCAGGCAGTAACTTGTAACAATGCAGCTTTAACCAAAACGTATCAAACTTTTCCATTTCTCCAAAAATCTGTAGAACTGAAATTGGAACTGCAAGCAAGTACAAGCTTCACCTCTATCCAGAATTAGATTGATACCTATTGTTCTCAATACTAATGGAAACTCTATAAATTCTTCTGTCTCCTAACAGTCTAGCTCACTTGTCAGCCTCTGGCACTTAAAAAGGGAGACCAGGAGAGCACTCGGAAAGCCTGAAAAGGTACGCTAGCATCTAGCATTGCCCTGCTCTTGTAGAAGTTTAGATGTACCTTCCACCAAAACATTTTACAGTTTTGGTGAAAAATATTTGGATTAAGATACAAATGGACATTTGCATTTGAGCTAAGCTCTCCTTAGTGTAATCACACCTCCACATACAAGGAGATTCTTGGAATGAACAAACCTATTCCAGCTCTTGCAGTTTTCCCCTCTTCCTCAGCACTGTGGGATACAAGCCATAGTGAAAACTGAGAACTCCCATTCACCAAAACTAATTCCAGATGCCTGTAACTTTTAAAAACAAGGTTAATCGATTCCAAAACACGATATCAACTACGCACCAGTCTTGTCTGTTCCTCCCTCATTGCCCTCAATAATTAAGAAATACTTAGGAATTGATGTCTAGGAACTTGCAAACACAAGAACTATTTGATCTGAGGAGTGAACAATGTTGATGGAGTTGATAAAGTCACAGTTTCATCACAAAGATGTAGCTAAAGACAACTTAGATGTCTACGGACATGTAAATCTGCTCAGTAATGTGACCATAAGTCAGCACAGGTTTTAGTAACTGGTGTTGTGTTCAGAATTCATGATCAATCAAGAAAACAGAAGCTTCTTCCAACAAAAAATGCTTCCAGTACTCAGACTTTTCACTGGGGCCTCAATTCAGCCACTCACTTGAATGACGTTGCTGATCTTCGAGCACTGGTAGAAGCTGAATTTTCCTTTACAGTAGCAATCTACTCCTCATAGAGGAGTTACAGGATTGCCTGGCACACTTTGGGAACCTCAGACATAAGACCGCAAGGCATGTTTTGAGCCTTGGTGTCTGCCTTAAGAGCCTTGCAATTCGAAGGTCACAGCAGTAACCTGTAACAGCAATACTGAAAGGAAAACCTGAGTTATACATTATGCAAGAAATCAGCAGGAGAGCCTAAAGCCTGCTACGTCATAAAGAAAAATATGAAGAATAGTAAAACAAAACCAACCTCAACCAGGATTTCCAGCAGACTCCCCTTCTTCCAGGGCACAATGCCTTTGAGAATAAAATCCACTACTTTAGAATTTTTTAATACTTCTCCCACGAATGTAATAACTTTATCCAGTGCATCAACCCTTTTCTCTATCTTTGCCAACCTCTCCTTATGCTTCGAGGCATCTAGCTGAGCAGCTTTCATCAATTTCAACACTTCCGAGCATATGCTCTGGATATCAGGCTGGTGAGTGCTCTCTGAAACCTTTAGGCCTTTTTTCATTGCATCTGTCTCATCAGGAGCTGCTCGGGATACTGTGAGCTTGTTAATGCCTTTTTCTACATCATCAATGCCTTTGTTAACTCGCTGCAGTTTGCCTGTCAGATCTTCTTGGAAATGCAACAGTTTGTCCATCTTTTCATTCAAGAGATTCAGTTTTTTGTCCATCATACTTAAATTGTTCACTTTTGTAGGCTGTAACTTTGTCAGGGCATTTCCCTCTGCAAGGTCCAAGCTACCTGCAGACATTGTGTCCAGACAGCGGGACGTCAGATAGATTAGGTTGGCTTTTCATTAATCGTAAATTAGAAAATGAGGGTCTGAAAGTTCATCTTCTTTAGCTATTCCTATACCAGACAACTTCACTTATTGGAGTCGCTGGAGCGTATCATGAGATAGCTACTGCACAAAAGATTTATTTCTGTGTTATCTATTTCTTACTGTGTGCTTTCAATGATGGAGGTAATTTGGCACCAGACTATATTTTCGTGGGCCTCCTTGACGTCACAAAACCATTTAAAATTCTTTCTCGAGTGGCTGTTGATAGGCAAGCATCCTAACAATTGCCAATGCCTGAGCAGACCTCTGGAGGGAGAAGGATTGTTTTTATGACCAGTTTTAATTCTGTGATAAGGAAAAGAATTTGCTAGAGCATTTCTCTGCATTAAATAGGAAAAATACAAAAGTAAATTTGGTGGCCTTGTGCTAAGGCTTGGAAGAATTCACCTTTGTAGCACAGATGCAGAGTACCCAGCAGAGACACAGGGTGTGCTCTTTAGGTTGGCTGCCACTTGAATTTAAAAATAGAGTACAATGACAAGGATCTGAAATACGTATCTAGCACCAGCATGTCTTTGTCAACTGAAACTTCTAAAATTAAATCTTTCTCCCAGGCTACGAAAGTGAACCAAGTAAAAAAAAAAAGTCTTCATGAAGGCACAGCAGAATTAGTCCAACTATTAGCAACAAAATTATTAAATCATAAATCTTATTTAAAGGATTTGTTACTGACTTGCTTTCACTTCTGAATCACGGCATGTCTACTACAAAAGTTGCAGTCAGTCACTAGAGAACAGACAGGTAGTCACCTTATACTTGCACAGCCCCCACTGCCACAGTTCTGAACGCTTTAGAAACATTAATGAATGTATCCTTCCAATACAACACAGAACGCGAGTCAGCCCTCTTCCGCAGAGGATGAACTGCGGCTTCAAGAGATAAAGCAGTTTGTCCCATGCCAGGCATGACACTGTGTCAAACAACTGCGCCTAGTTCCCCCAGGTCCCTTTTCACTGCTGTATGTATGTAGAGCAGGGGGAGAAAGCAGTGGGGAAATCCTGCTGCCGGAGGAGTCCTCTGGTGTGACAGAACAATGGAACCACATCAAAGCCATGGCCTTTGGGATACCGAGCATCCCTTTGCCTCCAATCCCTTCCTCATTTTTTGGAAGGGGCATATGGGAAGAAAGTGTAATTCCTAAAGTGAATTTGCTGTATGAGATAGGACATTCCAGAAATCAAAATCCTTCCTCTACGCACTGCAGAGTAATAGTGGCATTAAAATTACCCTCTCAAAATGGTAAGTCCTTGCCACTTTTGTAAGACAAGTTTTTTTTACCTTTACAATAAAAAAATGTTTTGTTATGTCTTCCAAGGCCACCAAATAATTATAGCCAACCTGGTGGTTCTGTGACATTTAGAGGCCAATAGCTGGCTCTACAAAAGATACCAAAAACTTTAATACTTGGACTGTTCATCACCTTCAAGGGAGAGTTGGAATACCAAACAATGACTTTAGAAGAAAACTTGGCCTATGAAAGCTGATGGGAGTTGGAATCTCATGCCACATCCCTTCTCCTGATCAAAAAAATATTTTAAAGTCACTGGTATTTTCACAGTGGTCTAGGATAGTATGGCATAAATTTTATGATACCCCATATAATTTTATTTCAATAATCAAGCATACAATGCAGTAAAATACACAACTCTGTCTTGAAAGTACAGGACATTGGCAATAAAAGCTTTGCAACTCTACTACTGCATTTAAAGAATCAGAGTTTTCAGCCAAATGCCTTTAAGTAATTAATTCTTTCAAGCCTACAAACATGCTTGATGACAAATAATCAAAACAGCCAACATTTTTGCTGAATCAAGAGTACCAGCTGAATGTTGTCCTCTTAGGGACAAAAAGAAAAAGGTAGAGTCATTTGATTGTTACATTTAAAGTTGGACAACTTGCAGCAAATATTTCAATACGGAAACCTAGCCACAGAAAGTCATCCACAGTTGCATACTTAGAACTTAAGTTGCCACCAGCAGTGTGCTATTACAGGCACAACACTTACAGTTGTGAAATGATGCAAGTACAATAAAAGTGCACAACTGGCCTCTGTGTTTGTTTGTGGGCAAATGGGAGTCTTTTGAAATCTTGAACCTTCTTAATTATTTAACAATTGAGAGCCAAAAGCATTAATGCTGCCCCATTGTTATTTAGTAGTGTTATTATTCATATAACTCTGATTATTTAATCCTCCTCACATACAATGGACTCTAATGGTAAATGCTCTGCAAAACAAAAAAGGGGACTTCAAAAACACCAAAAAGGAAATCTCTGAATTTACCTCAGTTTACACAAGCAGACTTGCCTGACTGCAACTCAAGGGGCAAACACCATCTCTTCCTCCTCTGGATTCAGCCACATGCATTGTGTATTCCAGCTATATGGAACTGATTTCACCACCTAATACCTACTCAGTGCACTGTGAGATGTGTAAGATAATGCACTATGGAGAATTCTTGCTACATGCAGCAAATATTCCTTGCTAGTGTTGTCTGAGGTACATACAGGGAAGATACAGCCAAACTGCCTCCTACTCAGATACAGCTGTTTGACTTATAACACTACTTGCATCGTACTGTGCATCCATAAGCAACTTCAAAATTACAGGTGGGATGAAGGATAGAGAAGGAAACATCATTTGGCCCATAGTGAGAAGTTTTAAACATCTGTCATGAAGTTATTAAGGTCAGCTTTTCTTTTCTTTTTTTTTTTTTTAACTTCCTTCTCCCCTCTCTCCCCTTTTAAACTTCTGGTAAACAAAAAGTGGCTCCAACAGATCTAACGGATTGTTTTATCTTCAGGATGATAATATGCTCAAATTCTGGCAAAAAATCTTTTATTCCTTTTGCTTTGCATTACAATAGAAGGCAATTTTTGTTCAGAACATTGATTTAGTGCCCAATGTTTGCATCTTGCTTGAGCAGCCTGACAGAGCATTCAATGCCATTGACAGTCTCAAGCCTTTCAATACTTAGCAAAAAAAATAAGAGAAAATCCTAAATTGCTTGACTCCATATTGCAGATCATAGTATACCCATCCTTAGACATCACAAAAAAGTACAGTTATCATAACAAATGTAATAGCCTATTAAACTCACTTTTTCTTTGTGAGGAGCTATTGCTTATAGCAACATTTTGCACTTACATACTGCAATACATGTTGCTTCATCTTCAGTACTCCTCCAAATGACATCTGAAGAACTTCAAGTGTTGTATGAGCAATGAATACCAGTGAATCTTGCAGGACCTCTGTAGATTGCAGACCTATGGCTCAGTCACCCCATGTTGTCACTGGCAAAACGAACCACAAGATTCCATTATAGTCTGGATGTAACTTGAATGAAGTTTCTGATGATAATTGGTCTCCTGTGGATTTCTGCTTGTGTCTTCCAGGTAGCAAAAAACGAGCACTGTGATCTGGAGTGTGTAGGCAACTGCCTCCATTCCATTAAGAGCTGAACTGGAATGAACTTCTAGGATACCTCCAAGCTGCCAAGTATCCCAGGAGTTCCAGAGAAAAGGAGTACCAGAACTGCAAGTGACCTTGAACTGATGATGCCAAAGACACTTCTATTCTCAAGGGGGAAATGAGAGTTTATTCCTCTTTGGCTTCAACCCCACGTACACTCTCCCCATTGTGAAAGAGAGATGTCAGAAAACAAGAGAAAAATTCACATTCAATACAAAGAATCAATGATATGGCCATTCTGTTATGATCCCTCCTTGCTAGCTCTGACCCAAAGGAAGGAAAAAACCCACAAAGATGGGGGGAGGTTAAAAAAAAAAAAATCTACAGTATGTACTAAACTGACAGCAGAGGCTTATATCCCAAACAAGAAATGTCACAGAGGTTAAAACCAGCTGCTCAAACAGATCATTTCATTAGATTATTGCATTGCTTCCAACAACATAGTAAAACTGGAGGTGGCTGAAAATAATAAGTAAATGAAAAAATAACCTTTTAAAAGGCTGAAACAAAGCAAAAGTTTTATAGAGAATTTGGGGGCTTTGGGAGAAGTTTGTAATGGTTGCAATGCAACAGAGTTCTAAGGAGATTAAGAACTCAACGTGGTGAAACATCAGTAGCTTACAAAAAGAAAAAAAGCAAACAGCAGATAAGCTCAAAACAATCTGGCTACATCTGCTAAACACTAATCAGGCAAAAAAATACTAATAAATATCCTTTACACATTTAGAAACCTGCTGTCAACCTTTTTCACGTTACACTGAAAAAATACTTAATCTACATGTAGTTGCTGCAGCTCATTAACATACTCTTCTAAGTTTTCCTCACAGCAAATGAAAGGGTAACTAAACTTTTTTAGGGTACCTAAACTTTTGAAAAATTAAGCCCTACACCAGTGAGTAATTTCTCATGAACAGCATGTTTCCTAGACACATGATAGGTTATAAATCATGCCCACAGAGTAATGGTGCAGCAAGAGACCAATTCTCATGACAAATGTCAAGCATTGAAATGGGCATTGGCTCTTATTTTTAGGAATAACTTCCAAGGGCAAGATATGCCATACAGTCTGGATAAGTCTATCTAGTCTAATAGTTGGGCTGCCCGCTAAGATCTGACAAAAGATGTCCATCTGCCATGTTTGGTGGTGCACTAGGAACTGGCCCACACCTGCCTTAGAAGGCCAAGAACCTGACATTTAACACATTACTAATGTCGGCTGGTGGTTGAAATCAACCTGCACGGTAAAAGGGTCTATAAAGCACTACCAGTGTCCCCAAGTGACCCTGGCATGATACATTTCAACATTGCCTAGCTAACAAGAGTACAACGTTACTGTAGTACTAGATCAACTAAATCTTAACAATCACTATATAAACTTTTAAAAAAATTTTTCCATGTATTTAATGACAGAAAACTGTTAACACAGTAGGTTATGAAATAC